TTGGTGCCTCACCAATAGCGAGATATAAATTACCATCGTATTACACATGCATTACAGATCCATTCGCTCATCTATTCACACAGTCCCGATTCCTTAGCACATCCGCAGCTCATTCATTCATCCTATCCCTTATTCAACCCTTCATCCGTAGTAATTTGCTTCCCTGTATTGAATGCCGCATATGACATTTTACCAGATTAAGTTATGGTTTTTTTGCTCACTCAAACAACATAAACTCTCAATTCCCAAAATCTAATATATCTATCTACCCATCGTAGTCGTGACTACCCTAATCCGGTGTTAATAGTCTTACTTCGGAGTTACGCCGTGGAAGGAAAAAACTCCTCCCAAGAGGAGACAGACAGGGATGTGATAAACAAACCGTAAAAATCAAAAACTCCCTCAAATTTACACGATACACTGGAGTTGGATAAATATCCCGATGTCCGTACCAGCAAATCCCACACTCACACAGAAGACCTAAGCGTCTTTTCAAAACGCGGTTTTTGCCATTGATATTATGATTGAATCGAGTTAGTAATAACATCTTGCACATGCAATAAGCGCCGCCAATATCACACCTATGTACACATAATAATATAGACACTTTAGCGGGGTCACGATAAGGGCAGTAGTAGCGAGAATACAACAGAGATTCACAGAACAATCGATAATAAAATTGAGGTCAATCGTTACAGTCATGAATTGTCACGCAATCGGCACGATGATCTACGACACCGACGCCACCAACGCCGATGTGAGATGCAGTCGAGAGCTGGCGCCTGGACACCCGCGCCTCCACAACCGCCTTGAAGTAGCGAACCGTCCTTGCTACAGCGACAATCACTACCACTCCAATGATATGCGGCACAAAAAGAAACCTCGTCCACAGCGAAATCGAGGGCAAAAACCCAAGAAGATGGAAAGGAGCTTGTGCGTACTCCATAGCAAAGTGAGTGATAAGTAGGGTGAAGAAATCGTAGAAGCACTGAAGACTCGGTGACTCAGCTCCCAATACGAGTGGACGAACATTTCGACGCCAAGTTCGGGAAGTGTACGTGAAGAGAGCAAAAGTGGTAAACATGAGGTAGTAGCCGGGGTAGAGACCGTGCCAAAATGCAGAGACGAGGAAGACGAGTATAGTGCGGAAGCGCAGCGGGGCACGAAAGTAGACTACTTCGCGTAACCATCGAACCGTCCCGATGTTCCACGCGTCGATTAGGACCTTCAGATTAGGTGCAGTCTCAACTTGGAAGAAGTCAAAGTTGTGCACGTTGGCCCAAAGGGTGGTTCGGGTCTCAGGATCGACTCCGGTGTAGCCGTTGCCTGCGCAGATGCCCAGCATCTCAGCAAGGCACCAACCGAAGTAGTACTTTAAGCGAGCGACTATAAACGCCGCGAACATGTAGCTTGTCTGGCCCAATAACGAAAGCTCCTAAAATTGTGATAAAAGCGTCTTCCCTTAGCTTCGAGGACGGCGTACAATCGTTCCCATTAATACACAGTCTAGTTCACAGCAGAGTTAAGAGTAAGCTTTAACAAACTGCGACTAAAGTGGAAAGTGTGATTTCGGAAGTGAAAAATAGGTGGAATCTAAACAATCTGCATTAAGTTCACGGCAAAAAAACCGATAAACGGCAATAAGAATACAGACAAGAGATAAGGAGGAAAATGGTGTTAAAAAGAGGGGGAGGGAGTTAAAGTGGTCGAGTTAACTGCAAATAGGCAAACACATGCAAACAGCGATAATTCCTTACCGGCTGTTGTTGTACGGCCTCGCTTCAATGCTACCCTTAAGTGACAAAAAAGCGAAGTTAATGCGAAAGACATCACAACAACGAAAGGGTCACCCTATCACCTTAAATCAACGTAAGCGATAGTCGCTTAAGGTGAGTGAACGAAGAAGCCTGATAAACTTCACGAAGAAATCAACTACCAAAGCGGTGCAGAGGTAGCTTGACCAGAGGGTTCGATGTAGGAGGGAAGTTACAATGACATTAAGCCATAGTAGAGTTTTAATGTTTGTTCAACGTGGATACATTCTTATCGCTCCTTTTAATCCTTTTAATCAAGTGGATGGTTATGCATTTATGATTTCCAATGAAAAGGCCACTACGCTGTCGATATGATTAATCATGGCAGTTGTATTGTCAGCTCTCTTCTTGACTCGTATAATCACCGACGCCTTCAGGGATAAATCAGATCGTACGTTAGTGGCAGTGCAAAACGATGTGTTCGACAGAATGGTGCAGTTTTCGTCCAGGTCTCTAAAACGCCATGCATTTACATGGACTAACTCTAATATGTTTAGCACTGCACCATGGCGAGCAGGAATGAGAGTCTACTTTTAATTAGCTCATTGCTTCTCCAAAATAATGAAAATTGAATAAGATGTAAAGGTCGGACACGCTCATGAAACAGGGGTCTAAAAATACCCCTGATATAAGGCTGAAGAGCGTCCGAATGACATCAGAGGACATTAAAATAATGAAAGCAAACAAAAAAGTTAAACTTCACTTTGAGCACTTCATTGATGAACTTAATCCCGCTTTTACTTGCTACGAAGAGTAAATAGCGAACAAATCAGATTGGCAAAACTATTCAGGTAGATCTTTTCACTTTCATTTGCTAAAAGGGATTGTAACAGAGGGAGGTCGAGGAATACCAAGGGGCGGAAAGCCGTCAGTGAATTCAAAGGTCATTTCTATCGGATGGAATTATTAGTAAAAACGCCAAGCACAATGCTCAAAACAGAACAGGGGCTATGTAACTAAATAGTATTAATCTTAACAACATGCAGGATTAAAAAAACTTTCAGTCTCCTGCGAATGGTTATTCACACTCGTGTTACTATTGTCTCCGAATGCAGCCACTTCAAGACTCGTAGAATTTTTAACTTTAATAAACCAGGCACTACGATAAGATCACTTCTTTTAGTCTTCCGATTCTTCTGTGGCGATTATTCCAGTCTCTCCCATGAGGATCCTCCTTTGACTACAGATTCCAGAAAGATTTTGAGCAAGCAATCTCAATTTCAAACAGTTCTTTCCCTCAGGCAAACGAATGTGGTGGAGGTGTGGACTACCCTCACCATTCAGACGGACGTGCGTGCGCACGTGCACGTGAGCGTTGACTTTGATGTCTCGCCTAACCAGTTCCACGTGCATACAATCTCACAAGGGCGTAGAATGAGTGGGCACTAGCGTAGGCGTTTGCACATGGTGCGAGTGGCTGAAACACGCATACACACACGACTATTTCATATTAACACGTTCGCTAACACCCGCCCCCCTAGTTTCTTCCCCGAACCCGATGCCCTACATACATGTCGTGTTCTTCAATAGTTTATGACATCTTGTTCCACCTACTTATTGCAAGCCGGCTTGCTAAATTCAGAACGACAAAGTATGTCCACTATCTTACCAGCCCCAGGAGAACTATAGCTTTCTAGTTCTTACTCAGCAGTTAGCGGTTGTCACATCAGAGCTGTGGCAGTTCATTTCTCTCCACTTCTTAAAGCAAACTTTTTAACAACAGGGGTATTGGGGATGGGGGTTCTATTTTTGAGAAAGAGTTTTTTCATCAATACCAATGTTAGCATATTTCTGCTCGGACAAAAGAGAAAGCATGGAAAGAACTAATTAGAGATTAGCACTTAGCTGATGAGGCGGCAAGTGCCATTCAAAACAAAAGTCAAGGTTGTCAAGACCCAAGTCAGGGTAATATAGACAAAATATTTCGCATCTCATTGGCAATTCGCTTTGACTACACCTCCGTGTTTTGTGTTACTGTCATGTCAAGCCTTTCCTTTGACTTGTGATTGACTCTCGATTAAATCAACAATGTTTCGTAAGGGTGATAATGAAAGCGAACTCCGAGAGTCTGGTCACAAATAGATTCCCTAAGGTGAGGCCACGGTGGTTGGCACTTTTTACCAATGCAAAAAACGATCCACTTAAAACAAAGCCAGTGAAAAAGGCGGTCAGTTGGACGCCGACTGCAAATGAATCAAAGTGGCAACCAGGCGTGTCAGGGGAAATTCCTTGCTGTTTCACCTTGTAGTTACAATAAAAATGCAAGGCTAAAGGAAGAGGTATTTATAAGGTTATTATGAATGTAATAATCCATACTCCGTTGACATTTCACTCAAACTATGCTTCTATTCTGTCATGTGTATATCAACCCCACCCCCTTACTTGCAGTTTTTTGCCAAACGCAGGAGGTAAAAGACGTGTTGCCTTCGAAGCACAAATGAGCAAGCAAGAGTTTCAATGATGATGGTTGACTGTTGGGAGTAAAGGTGAGGGTGAATAACTGGAAGTTGAATAGGATGGTACTACAGTTTCGTTGAATTACCTAGATCAAGTAGACAAAGGTGGTAAAGAACCCAGTCGGACTAAGTTCTATTTCTACATGGGTTGACCAAAAGACATAGGGTCAGATGTGGAATTATTTTCCCTAAGCTTGCTTCTAACATGCATTGCATCGCTTTTTAGGGCAATTTCAAACAAGCTGATTGAATAAAGTTGGTTAAAACGAATAAACGTGGCTTTATTGATGAGGAGGGTAATTTGTAACCAAATATCACAAGAAGAATAATGGTAAACGCCGGCGGTCAGATTTAGAAATTGTCGATTGCCAGACCAATTATATCGCCTTCCAAACACAAGGTTGCTTTGATTAAAAAGCAGAATTTTGTATTTTGCTAGCTAAAACCCACCATCCAGATGAGAAATCATCATCGCTACCACTGCTATGACCAGTCACCCGCAGCCAAAAGTACAACTGCAGCGTTGATGAAAGTACATTCCCCGCCTCCTGCCTGCCTTGTTACGTTTTCACTAACATAGGGACACATAAGCAGTACCCGTGCCAAATAACATGATACAGCGCTCCAAAGGGAGATACAATAAACAAATCAACTCATCCCAGGCAAAAATACGCTTCGTGCAAACGCGTTAAAAAACCTCTCCCGAATTTCGCCTTCGTTTTGCGCGTTGACTGCCAAGGACAACAGAGGGAGAGAGAATGAATTGCTATTTGGATGCCTAGCAACGGTAGGGGAGAACGAGGGGTGGTAGCATCAGCAGCAGCAGTGAAGACTAGTAGAGGCGAGTAGTCTCAAACAGATACATTGTAAACAAGACATGAGGGAGAAACGAGAGTTCGTAACACACAATAGGAAACTAAAACGCAAATGTACACACACAGTAAGCTTCCAGTCCCACAGGAGGAAGGAGGGGGAGAGAACAGGGATACAAATGGTACAGACAAAACGGAAACGATCCAGGCCATATGTCAACGCAACGTACCACAGTGCAGATGAGCGCACGTACGTGCACTTACGGAGTGAGACGCAGTGCTTCTGCAAATGCTGCCAGTTGGGAGTACAGCAGAGGCAGCAGAACAACAACAGCAGACACAAAAACAGGGGAGGGGGGGGGTTGCATATCACCTGCCCCGTCCAGACGGAGAGGATAAATTTACCCCTCTACTCACTCGCCTTTCTCAACACCGAACTCCGACAATGCTGCTTACAGCGGGACCGAATTCGAAACCAAGTGTAGCATTGATCACTCTCAAGTTATGATCTTGGCGAATTAACATATGCAACAGAACAATTAATTATCATAATCTGATTGTGAAGATATAACTTCTTCAGATCTATGAGTGTGTGTTTTCCGTGTATGCGTGTTTCAAAATCCCTCTCCTTCGTACTGACTAAAAAACCGGATTCAAGCTACAAAATAAATTCCCGGTTTGCGTTTGTACCATCTCGAAGTTGAACGTGAGACGAAAATGGGTAGCGGAAGTATGATGTTCACACAGTTTCGCATCATATGAATAAATGTGCAGTTCGTGAAACCCCAATTGTTTAGGTTTTTGGATTAGTAGCTCACAAGAGCAAGGTTGTCAAGTTGTGGGAAGCACAGACTGAATGGACGTATGCCCGAACACCTTCCACGCTTAAACTCGGTGTCATATCAATCACAAATGGTCCCACTAGTGTAGAGTTCCTTTCAAAGGTTAAAAAAGGACGTGCATCAGCCAGAAAAACGTAACACGTTCAAAATAAGCCCTTTAAATTGTATGCCGATGTTAAAACAGTTTGAGGACATGTCTCATGGTGATTTGATTAATAGACACCTGAAAAAATTACGCTTCTCACCTTAAACATCTTTCAAGATCAAAAAATTGTACCATTGGAAATTGTGCGACGTCGGCAAAAGTAGCTTTTCTGTTAATAGCAGTCCATTTTCTCCAAAAAATACAAAAATCCCTCTTTATTCCTATTTAGCTGAACCTGACATTATGACGAACCAATGCTGGATCAAAAACAAACACTTGTTTACGGGCGAGGATGGGGATTACTACAGGCGAGAGCATAAAACAAGGATTGCCGTACCTCTCAGGGTAGAAAACAAATCAGGATGTAAATTGGAGAGAAAAATGAACAAAATAATGATTTTTTAAGTTATTTTAGCGATTACAATACGCTGGTGTCAAATGTGGAGACTTGAGCCTTACAAATATGTAATAATACCATAAATACAAAAAACCTTTTACGATTGCTTGATAAGGTTAGACGTATCTTGCGGCATGCTGGAGATTGACAAATGATGAACGCTGCGACATAATTATGTATTTCTCAAACGACTTCTTGCATTTTGGAATTAAAGCCTTAGGGGGAATGCAACAGATGGCCTTATCGGCATTAGTAACCTATTTTTGGGAATCAAAATAGTGCACAGTATTGTTTTAAGTAAACAAGACGTTTTCCATCAAGACTATGGATCAACAAAAAACCCCTTATTTGTCGACAAAAACCAGAAAAAAAGTGGGGATTAGTAGGTTTTTACAACACAGTGACCAAAGCAGAAGTAATATATCACGAGTCGCAGAGACGGAGACACATAACCATGCAAAAACGCTGCGGAAGCCTTAAAGGAATGCGTCCAACTTCTGAATAAAACTTGCAGTGATGTCACGAATCCAAGGTACCACGCTCGGTACCAGCGCCGCCAACGTGTAGCGTGTTCCTTTTCTATTTATGGCAAGTGGCTGTGCCAAATCTTGTCACAAATTGGTTTATTGTTTAAAATAAAAAATCAAATGTATGAAGAATGGGCACTATTCTAGTCTTGAACAACATTCAAGTTGGCCAATGTTCAGTTGCGTAAGTGTTGGTGTCAAATTATAAGGATAAAAGGTCCGGGCTGTGGTGGTCTAGTTTACGCTCAAACCTTGGTAACAAACGTGTCAAGACCGATCAACAAGGTTCAAAAAATGTATGATACTTATTGAAAACTATCGATGGTAAATAACTTCGCTGTTGGAGGCAATCCCGTTTCAAAAGGCAAAAAAAACAATGAGGACTTTTATCCTAAATAGTTTAACCGATGGAATCGCAACCACATCTCACAAATCCCAAGTCTCGGCAAATGCATCCGCGTACTATGGCCGCATGAACATTACCCTCTACGCCATGCACACACACATGAATCCACACTCTCTTCATCAATTTCTCCGTCAGATTGCACAAATCCAGGCAGGAAATGAAATAGAAGTAAACACACGCATACATGTTCGTAGGAGTGGAGGGGGTAGGGAGGAATGAGTCGACATTCAAGCAAATAGGGTGGTTGTCCGAAACCTGGCAGCCTCTAGCTGTCGGCTGCCCGCCTTCCCGTTCTCTAGCAGGCATGACTACACATGAGCATGACTAATGCGCCTGGCCAGTAAACGCCGATGACAAAGCGAGTGAATGGGTGAAGCAGTAGCGTTTTTATGAAGACAGCCACGTCCAGGAAGAAGTCACACAATGCCCCGACAGGCCGAAGCTAGAGCACGCTCGCGGATGTACGATTTCACTTTGTCTATCTCTCGAAATTGTGGTCGCTCAGTTTGCGATTGCACGTTAAATGGACATTTCAAGATTAACAGTAATGTGACAGAACGCAATTTATTTATGCGCATATTCAACCATGCGGGGTCTCCAATCTCTACGGATTGTATCACCGTCGAGAAGACAGTAAACCATAGATAAATCGTCTAAATTCACCCCGAGACTTTCCCTAAATCGTAGTGAGTTATTCAAATGTGGCTGGAGATGTATTATAAATGCACGAAAAGGCTGAAAGGTAACCTGTGGGCACCGACGAGGCCACACAATTAAACGACCATTAAAACGTATCGAAGTACTACACATCGATATTGGTGGATTGAGAAGCTTCCTCCTCAGATGATTTTAACCTTAAACACAGTTTATTTTGAATCCAGGAGGTCAAAAGATATTTTGAGAAAAAAATTGCTAGAAAAGCACGGCATTTTAGGCGTGAGTTTCCCTTTGAAAATTGACATCTCATCATCGTTGTCAGTAATTTAAAAGTCTCAAGTTGCAGTAACCTCTCTAGAAGTTGTCGTCTGGAAGTAACGCAACGAAGTGTTTGTCGACATAAGGATATGGTTTGAGATGGATAGCATAAGTTGACGCAATCCTTTCTGACAGATGACTTTAATCAGCAAAGTGGACCAAAACTTGAATTAGCAACGCTTGACGATTCCAAGACTATTCATCACGATGAAGAAGAGTAGCTTAAATGAAATCTACTCGAGAAAGATGTCTATAACTGATGCACTTATGCTGCTCAAAACATTGCGTCAAATCGCCTAACGCACCACGAGTTCCAACAACGCATTTTTAGAATAGTGAACATTCTTGTTGTTGCCCATGAAATAGTGGGTACATTCATTTAAATGTGCGCGATTATTCAGTCACGATGTTTACTTAAACCTTTCACCCAGTGCTGGCAAAGTTAGGAAGTGATCCTTTTTGACGTCTCTTTTATTGTGAGAGACGAAAGTCCATATTCACTAGCCTCGTTGATGGTGCTTCAAAGCTAACAACAAACAACAGCCTGACTAAAGACGAACGCAGAAGGAAGCTTTATGTATCCCCCAGGAAGAAGGATCTACTACAGCTTGAAGATACAAATTGTAGCCAAGTGAACTCGGTTTAGTTGAGATCAGTTAGATATTTCCGAAGAAGGTTGGAATAGGAATAAGGTAAGCAGATGAGCGCCCTTATGAAGTAGTAACTAAATCACAGTAGGGTAGCCTACAAACAATAAGTTAAATTGGCCATTCATCAAACCGAGATACTCCAGTGCACACTAGTCGTTAGCTGGAATGAATAAAATTTTTCAGACGACAAGATGCCCGTCTGTGGCACTGCCAGCCGTGGCTTCCACCACGCCACAGTCTCGGCAGCTATTCCTGTAAGTATGCATTCAGCGCATGGGGCGCTTGGTCCCAGATGATCGGCACTTAACCACTTCCCGTAAAATCGCATGAGAGATTAAACTGTGGGAATGGTAAATGCAACACAATTATTCACGATTATTTTCAGTTCCGAAAAGTCAACTCACGCCGGGTACCAAGGTTAGTTCAGATGTAGACTCATCTCTGATTCGAAATTATTCAAACAATGTTTGAAGCCAGGATGAGTGTATAAGTATGGCAAGGGACTAAGTGGAAAAACAGATGCAGTTTTCGTTTCTCAAAATGAAGAGTTCCGACTTGGTTTAAAAGCTCTGCATATTTAACAATGGGTACAGTGTAGCAGGAAATGTGTGAAAGTTAGTTTTTATGAAAGACCACACCGTGCCAAAAGGAGCGATCAGAGCCACAAAAACATGATTGATGATTCGATTTCAATACACATGAGTGGGCATAAAATAACTGACAGTGTGATTGTAACTTCATTCATAAAAGCCTTTCCCAGCATAATGAGCTTAAAATAGAACCCTATAAAATAGGCAGTAAAAAGATTTATTTCAATATTTTTGCTGTCTAGAACAGGGTAACTAACCTGAAAGGCCCCATGATTGATAAAATTGACAGGAATGCGATTGAACAACACAGCATAAGTGAGGCCATAGACCGCCAAGCGTAGAGTAAGGTAGCAGAGGCGACAAAATGGGATGGGAGGCAAGTGTTTATTTTCATATCCATGTAGGTAGTTTTGGTAGTCCTTGAAGAACACAAACGGGCCAATACATACGCCGTGGAAGTACATGCAGTAGGCGGCAAACTCTATCGGTCCTGGCATCTTCGCGACGGCACATTCTCGACTAGAGGGCATGAGAGTGGGCCCACCTTCTTCAACAATTGCTCTTTTGGGGTCATTCTTGCCATCCACATGGGCGTCGTCATTGGGGGTCTTGTAAGTTGCGTCAGAAACTAACGCTTTTGCGATACGTACGCCGTCGTAGAGATTGAACGCGAGACTAGAAAGACGCTGTGTCTGCAACATTACGGCGCCGGATATATCTAGTGTGTAACCTTCGTAGTCGTAGTAGAGACGACACTGATGGATTAGCATAAGATAGAGAAGGGACCAAGTAGTTACGGCGATGGGTGTAACGAGACGGTCGTGTCGGCAGAAAAGGAGGATTACGTAAGCCACACAGGATTGAAGCAGAAGGACCCGGAGTTGCATTCCAAAGCAGAAGATAACCACTCCAGCACCGAGGAGAATTTCAGTGATAGCCCGGAAGAGCGGACGCACGCGGGAGGGGGGTAATCCGTAGCGCATGATGAGAGCCAGAGGGAGGCTAGCAAAACTTGCTACCACGAAATTGATCATATCGATGGGAATACCGGACCAGTTAGTGACTGGTTGTAGGAGACGGGATCCGGCGTAAAACCGATCTTTGACAGAGCGACCAGTGCCGTGTTCGATGGTCACACCCATTACTAGACCGACGAGGATATCGAAGATGTGGAAGTTTGTATGACTAGAGCCATTCAAGGCAGCGGTGGTGGTGGTTGTTGTGAGAGGAGATGATGGCAAGGTGAGACCTCTGTTTTGAGGTAGAAGGGAGGTATTATTAACAGTCATGATTACTAGATGCAGGTGAGATCGAGTTAGCCTGAGATGACGCTATCAATCACCAAAGAAAGGGAACCTGAAAAACAAACCGAAAGGAAGAAACTTATGCTGATTCAGGTAAACACAGCCGCCTGCGGTAAGAAGAAGTGGTGAACACTACGAATCTAATTAGGAGAGATGAAAGACCATTTGTTTACTCTGGATGGGCGGAAAACTATAATACACAGGGTTCGGTTGCAGTAAACAGCACACTTATCACGGTTAATGGAAAAAACACCATATGCTACCACTGCCGCCAAAGTCATGCATTTAAATTCTAACACAAACTACTTGGCGATATCTAATACCCATGAATCAATGTTAAACGTGACTTGCAAGATAAAATGCGAAAGGCAAAACAAACGGGAGCACAAAATCACACGTAAAAGGTGAGCAGCATAACAAAGAAACAATGGGATACTTAACAGAAAAATGGGTCGGATTTTTTATTCTCACGAAAACATCCGACTAGTGTGTGTATGCGCGTGTGAGACAATGCATCAACTTTGGTACTGAGAGCAAAATATAAAGTGCAGGCGGGTAGGCAGACAGGCAGGTAGAGGCGCGTTGTGTGTAGACGATCTGCGCTGAGCCGACTAGCGTTCGCAAAAGAAAGAGGGAAGAGCAAACTTTTGGGCAATGAAGCTAGTTACTCCAGGAATGAAAAGAGGTGGAGGTGGGAGCAAGAATAAAGTATGAAACAGGGAGACAGAGCCGGTGCCACTGATCAATCTATAGGATCCGAATAATAGAGAGCCTTTACTTGGCGCAGCTTGTTTAACCAATCCCCTGAGTGACCGGTAGGATCCTCCAAGTAGTATATTCGATTGGGCACAATGATGGAAAAAATCTTGCTATTTCGGCATTCAACGCGCAGGAAATTGCTCCAGGGCACCTCCCCTTTGAGCACCATGGCCTCAGGGTCAACGTAGAAGAGATGGGGCCCCTCAGTGAGAAGGAACACTCGCTTCCGAGCGAAGAGCCCCCGACGTTTGTACAAGATGCCTTGCTTCACGATCAGACGTCCCTTAACAAAACGGTGGAAAGCATTTTCCACAGCCTGTTTCTTTAACAACTCTTCGCGTTGTAGCTCTGTTATCTGACTGGTAGCCAGCGCAAGCTCCTGTGAGAGAAAGTACTTTTGACTAGCAGTATAACCCACGGGTACTTTATCCCAGTCGTTGTGCTCCAACGGCTCTAAGTTGGGAATCAGAGTGGGCGGTTCACTATCGATTATACCCTCCCAGTCAACACCGGAGAAGAAAGGGTGTGAAAGAAGGGCGTCTGGACCACCCGTAGCTGGACTACCTAACCGTTCGGAGGGAGAGAGGACGAGAAGACATTGGACAAGGTCCTTCGCCTCCTCATCAAACCTCTCAGGAAAGGTATAGTTAAGAGCATGAACCTTCTGAAACACGTCAAACTGGTGTCCGAACTTGTCAGCACGGAAGGGAAGGCGTCCGGAAAGCATTTGGTAGACAACACAGCCTAGAGCCCAATAATCCATTAAATAGGAGAGATCAGGAGAAGAGGATGAGTCGGCGGGGGTGGAAGAGGATGCAGCAGCATCCGATTTACTCCTCCCATTATGGGACTCATCCTCAGAGGTCGAAGAGTCGGAGGACGAAGATGTGATGGATAGGGGTGCACAGAACTGGAGCATCTCAGGGCTGACATACTCCGGAGTGCCAGTAAAGACGGGTGCCTCCACAGAGGAGTCGTTGAGGATGACAGCAGAACCGAAATCCGCAAGTTTGATGTGCATATCAAGGGTGAGGAGAATGTTCTCGGGTTTTACGTCTCGATGGACAATGTAGTGGGAATGCAGATAGCGAAGAGCGATCAATAGCTCTGCGGCGTAGAACCGAGTGCCTTGTTTGTTGAAAGACGTGAGTTTTTGGAGGTAATCCAGGAGATGACCCCTTTGAGCGTACTGCAGGACGTAGTAGAGGCGAGAGGGGTCCTGAAAGGTGTACATAAGGCGCACGATAAGAGGATGACTAGTGCGGCGCAACACCTCTCGCTCCATGAAGACAGCCAGCTTGACAGACTTATTGGCAGTGACCTGCTTCTTGCTGACAACCTTAATGGCGAATTCACGCTGCGTGGCGATCTCCTTGGCAACATATACTGTGGAGAATGATCCATGACCGATCTCCTTGCCGAACTTAAAGTCCGAGGGCTGTGGTACCCTGGGATGGGATGCGATTGATTGGGTGGCTAGACGCTGGGAGGAGGCTAGCGAACCATCGTTAACGCTCCCACTGCTCTTCGGCTGCATAAGACAAACGCCTGAGTTGGTTGCCTACAGTCACAACGACAAGAAAATGTGGTTACAGAGAGTAATGTGGAGGTGAGTAAACAAGAGGTCACTTTTATGTACTCGAACTAAAGTCGCTTATTTGAACTTTTGCTAAAATATGCCTAATACCATGAATGAAGTAAAAGAGTCAGACCAGCTAAAATCATTACCTTTGTACAGATTGTCATGCCGCTTCCATACAAAATTAAAGTGGAAAAACAGACTACAAGAATATCCGATGTAGCAAAGCCCTTAAAACCAGATTATAGAAGGTAGAAGAGGCCTGCAAAATGGATAAAATACTGACTGAATGACCACACTACATAAAGAAACAACCAAGGATTCCTAAATGGCTCCATAGCAGTATTGCTTATCCGACTACGAATACCTTCTACAGTCTCATTAACTTGCTGAATTCATAATAACAAAAGTAACAATGCCAATTGTAAAACCAAGCTGACACAAAGATCACCCGGGAGACTAAAAAGAGCATACCAAAAGCAACAAAAGTACATGAACGCCGACACAAGAATGGCATACGAAATAATAAAACATTGGAGAAGTGTAGGCTTTAAGCCAATACAACAGTAGTAGAATGGGCGAGACAAAATATTTCAGCAAAGGACTCATAAAGGAGCAAAAGTATTTAAAGCCACTCTGTAGATAGCATGGGTCAATTCACACAATTACATTAGATGGTGAACAATGGCCCTAAATTACAAGAAACACACCGGTATCTAAAATCCGCACACTGAAAGGTTCCGATTGGCACTTTTGTAATGCTCACAGAATCGTGATTAATTATAACAAATTTAACAAATTCCTTTTACAAACTCTACCAATTTAAAAAGATATTTTGACCGTTTACACACTATCTAATTTTAAAAAATTGTGCGCTCAGCAGAGGCTTTTAAAAACCTGGCAACTTATAGTTTTACAAAGAAATTTATGTACTGTCGCTACAAAATGGCTCTATTAAAGTTGAGTCTGAGGCTTAACAATTCTCACAAATGCAAAATTTTAAAAGAGCGTTTGTCTAATGGATTTATGAACAGGATGGGATTACACAGTTTGATGTTATCCGGCATCTCTTAAAACTAAACCGCCTTCGTATGGTTATAGGCTTCGATGTTTCAAAAATAATAACGCTTACGCAATGGTCAAGTCGTTTTAATGTTTCTCTTAAAGAGAAAAGTGGAATCACGGAGTAAACCTTGTGGCTGATGAGTCAACGGCCTACAATCCGGAGAAAGGTGCAATGCGATGGTGGTTTATCGCTCTCGCTATTGGTGAGGCACCAG